GGAAGGATGAGAGAACAATATCAAGTTGGCCTAAAACAGCATCTGGCCCAGAACACCAAAGTAAAAATTACCATCAGCACACTGAGCTCTGCCATTCCCCAAGTAGATACCATTCATGATCATCGGCACACTGAGCTCTGCCATTCCCCAAACAGATACCATTCTCACTGGGAAAAAGCATCTCAGACACTCAAGAGTCTTGAGCAAGATGCTCTTACTGGCAATCTATCAGCTTCAAGTTTTAGATCACAACAGCAGGAACTCTTGAGGGGAAGCCAGGATGGGAGAGAAGAGGACATTAAATATATCACACCTTTAATAAGCCTGGAGTTTACAAGATTAAATAAGCCAAATTTATCCTGAAAATGCATGAAAACTGTGTATCGTGACACAGAATTTTTGCAAAGACTAAGCCCTTAAATTATGGAAAGCATTCTAAGGAACCCAGATAGAAAAAGAGCAACTCTTTTACCAATATGTTCAGAATTACCAAAATCAACATACAATCCTTGACAGGCTGTCTTTTAAGAGGGTCTGAGCTCTTGAGGCAAGATGTAGCTAAAGAAAAATGAGTTTTTCCTTTAAGCTGAAGTACCTGTTTTGGAGAAACTTTCCATGTATGAGAAACCATTGGTAGGCTAGTTTTCTCTACTCAGCAGCACAGGACTCCTACACCAGCGTTTAGAAGGCTGCTGTGAAATCATGAATATAGTAGACTGGGTTAAATATTGACATACAGCGCTGGGTGTCCGAAGTACTGAACTGCATGCTTCCCATTGCTCTTGGCATTCATGTTTTGCTTCAGTTCCTGTCAGTGTTGCTACCTGGTATTGCTGCTTCAAAAGACAGCTTTCACTGCTTACAGATTTCTAGGTGGATGGTTCTTCCTCTGCATTCATCTACCCAACACTGGGGAAGGTGCTAGCTGGTCTTTGTTTTGGATGTGCAAGTCTTATTACCTCTGAGTGAGAGAAAATTGCATACTTTTTCACTAAGCATCATGTATTACTTCAGATACCTGTTCTATATTACATAGCAGAAAGCTCAGAGAGCACTGTATTCCCCTGGAATCTATATAAAGCTTACATTGTCAGGAAGGTATTCAGCCAACCAAATATTCAGAGGTCATCACAAGAGCAAGTAGTCTAGCCAAACCAGGCTGATATGCATGTGTATGCATATGTGTGCATGCAGGAAGAATAGAGAGGAAGCAGAAATCAACAGGAATACCATTCCACAAATAATGTAGTTCTGGGCAGTTTACACTATAGCAAAACCTATTTTCAACACCAAAGCAGTGGAAACAGTGAGAAGGGACAGATTGCTTTCCAGGTTACGAACATTTTGTGTATTACTACCACAGAGCTCCATTAAGATAAGCAAAGATTAGGACTTGCCATCAGACTAACCGCTACATAGGGGTTAGAAACAATAGTAAGATGGTCTAGATTTACTTTTTTTTCCTGGAATGAAGGGTTCACGACCCGTTGACTACAGTCAAAATGCTCAACCCAAAACCATCCACTGTATAGACTGAAGCATGGATTTCCCACTTGCCTGCAATTGCATTCAGAGAGGAAAAGCCACTTCTTCCAAACAGGACCAGCTAAAAATTTTCCAAGGAGGACAGCAAGTTAAAAAACTGAGCAGCATATATACCAGATACATCCAAAGCAAACAGCAATCCCTAACTATGTACTTATTCCTGCAAGAGGAGACAAGTCTGAAGGAAGATAGGAGGTAGGAACTGACTGTGTCACTTGGGTAATACGTACCCAAGAACCTTTCTCCAGTATTTTCCTTTAGTTGGCTTCATGTCCGAGTCCACTGAATTGCTTTTCAGGAGCCCTCTTCTGTGTTCAGTAGCCACAAGGACTTTGATGGTCTTAATGCAGCCATGCTGCTAAAGCCTTTACTACGCTGTAGCAAAGTACTGATTCTTTCCAGAGTAAACAATGAAAGCAAATCTGTAAGAATCTCATGCATAGTTTTCATTTTCACAGAAGGGAAACAATGGCAATCTAGCCTAGTAAGCAGCCCAAAATTTACCCTACTTCATCAGGGCAGGTACCAGTACCCTTTGAGGAGTCTGACGGGAAAAATCTCTTTGCTTAGGAGAAGCTCCCTTCTATCAGCACTTTCCAAGAACCTTCCTCCAGAAAAGCATATCCTGTACCTGTCTGTACTCCAGCCCCATTAAAATCCATTACCTGAGAATCATGCCATTAGCAGATTCCCTGCACTTGACCTTGATACCTGCCCTCAAGAAAACAAGCAGAACAATTGCCTTCCTGGAGTCTTGGAGGACCCAAATGCTCTGTTACATATGTTTTATGTATATACATATTTGTTATATATGCATCTATGATTCTATGTACAAAACTGCTTAACTGGAAATGGATCCAAAGGAAGCAGAATTCCTTAACTCTATTACGATGCCTGCTAAAAACAGGCCTAGAGTTTTATTGGTTTGATTTCTTTAATACTATTTGATGGCATTACCTGAAAATCTGTTTTTAGAAGGAAAATATCTCTAAAGCTATGGAATAAATCTGTTTCAGTGCCAAAGAGCTCATTATTTCTTTCACACCTGTGACAAGAAAAAGGACTAAAATTCTAAGGAAGCTTTCAATTATTTTTTTCTGGGATACAGAGGGAGACAACAGAACGCCAATCCTGGAGCAATTCAAGGGCACTCATACTCATTTTTCAGGTGTTTGTGCCCAGGATATTATAGCTTTTTATGTGTAAGAAAGTATCTTCCAAAAGGCAGTAAGTCCAGGCTCGGCCTGGCTCTGACATTTCTCAGGGTACACGGTGATTTAATAGCTGGCCACACAGAAGATGAGCAAGGCAGACACTTAGATTTTCCTTCTGAATACTTCCCCTTTGCATCTGAGATGGAATGAGAGGTTTTGTTGCTCTTAACTCCTATGTTACAGGACTCTCAAGCTCTGCAATAGCAACTTAGACTGCAGCAGGCACACAGTGCATTTTTTTTTCTTCTTTTCTATATAGTAATGGAGATAAAAGCAAAACAGAGATGGCCTCTCACTAGTCTGTATTTGTAATGCAGACACAAGGCATAATGATTTGTTCAGGAGAGCAATCTTTAGAGAATACACCATTCTCCCCAGTAGCTTCCACAGCTACCACATGATGCAACCATCTGGTCCTCCAACAACTGCCTTTTGTATGTTCTTGCAAGGAGTCTGGAAAGAGATATCAGAAGTAAATGCTCCTGCAAATCTAATGGATCTGCTGCTGGTAACAAGAACAGTACTAGAAGGAGGCACAGTGTAAGAAGTACTAATACACCAGTGAGTGTTCAACTCTGCTAGACTTGCATACATCTTTGATAGAGACCTGTTCTATGAGTACTGAAAGTTATCCGAATCACATATCAGATCTGTGATAGGTCACAATAAATCCAGAAAAACCAAGCTATAACTTGGGTGCTGTATCATAAAATTTCAAAACTGAGGATGGTTAACTTAAGCAACAGTGAGAAACCAGATAAGCCTATAGGCTCACATGGTTTCTCAGCAGGATTGAAGTACATCTGTTCTGATTGAGCTGAAGATCAGAATCTGACCTTTGGAAAGGACATACCAAGGCTTAGACCCCAATATTGTTCCAGCAGCACAACCAAAAGTTGAGGGATAATGATAGGACAGTAATATTGGCAAGTTCAACTAAAATTTTTAAGAAAAAGGACAAATTAATACAATCTATATTAAGCATCTACAGCAAACTCACTTTTCACGCAACTTGTTCACGTGCCTTCAGACCTACTTCAAAACTAACAATACACACAGATGAGCTCAGCCTGCTATCCAGTGTAGTTAACAGCTGAACTTCTTTTGCTCAAGAAGGTATCAGTTCTGCAGCACTCCTTCCGTGCACCTCACACAGTTCTTAAGAGCAATATTCGTTGCAACATCTATATGCTAGAAACCTCATAGCTCAGTGTTCCCAGAAGCTCTTTACAAAGTTTTGTAATTTCCCAAATCTACTACCACATTCAAAAGTAGACTTGACATCATGTATGCTAAGCAATGCACTTCACTTCTGTGCTTTTCCTACCCTTTTCTCACAACTCCTTTTCATCATCTTTCCTCTCCCACTCAGACTTTTAGCTCCCTCCTCTTCAGAGCAGTAGATCATTGCTGCTTTGTCCAGTGTCACTCACCAACGGAGGAAACTGAAGGCTGGATAAAGTGGCAGGTGTTTTTTCTTGGGGTTTTTTTTGTTCATTTTTACTTGACTAAACAGTACATCTACTTCTTCCTGACATCTAATAAAGGAGAATTATACGAGGTCTCCAAGCTTTTATCTCATCCACCCTCTCTTCCAAGCTGCTTCTTCATTTTCGTAATTTCATATATCATCTCTAAGATATCTTCAAATGCCCTCTTATAAACCTCCTGGTATCCCTGATATTGCCTGCACCTAACTAGTATCTTTTTCTTTTACCTCAAGATGTGTTTTCATTTCTGAAAAATATTGAGACAAAATAAGCTGTAATATCCTCCTGTTTAACCAAGCTGTTTTAGCTCAAATTTTTCAGACATATTTGGTGAATGTTTAGAATAACCATCCTATTCTTACTGGGTTTTAAGAGCAGAATTGCATCCTGATACAATGCAGGAAATCTAACACCAGTAATCTACTAATAATCCAGATAGCTAGTACAAGAAACTAAACAAAGCAAGTGTAATTTCAGTCCATAGTAAATGAAGGCCACAAATAAAAATGATTTAATTTCTTAGGCTGGAAAATTATGTGATATAGCAATAGCTTTCTTAATTCTTGCAGTGCTTAATGATAGCTTATTGAGACTACAAATACAATCATTTGTTGGATTCCTAAAGTAGTATGCCCTTTGGATCCATACCAGTTATACACGGGCACAAAGTATTTTCCCTTACCTTTCTTCTTTATCAAAAAATTAAAGCATTGTCTTATTTCTTGTTGCTGCTTTGATGAAGCTTACTTACCGCTTCAGAATTATCAATGAAAGGGTCCGTTTCATCATAACCATAACCTATATCAATTAGATCCTGCAGACGATCCTTCCGATGTTTGTGGGGCTTTCCACCCTGAAAACAAAGCAAGTGTTTTATCATTTGGGAAAGAGGGAAGCAATGTACTAAAGTCTACAAAACATAAGGCATTGGAGGGATGGTCATTAAGGGAATTAGCAGTTTTGCCTTCTGGGATGCTTCCTTGAAGATGGTCTAGATGACTAAAAAACTTTCACACAGGAATGAGTTCTGGCAAACATGCTTTTCTACAGCCTCATCAGAATCACCCCTGAAAGGTATTCACTAGACACCTAGTGTCTATGAGTTTGTCAAAATTGTCAATACAAAAGTCTTAAAAGATAAAATTCACCTCCGTTTTAACAATATTTTGCAAGAATTCAAGTTTGTAACTAAGTAACACATGCGCTCTTGCAAGCAAACAGGAATCTCTCAAGTATAATTAAATAAATAAATGCAATAATCCTAGGAAAAAAAACTCAAAAGCAAGTTCCTTTTTTAATTCAGGTTTCCAAGCTATATTCCAAGCTAAGTATTCCTAACCTTTCCTATTAGTCCTATCATCCTCTACAGCCACTCACCTGGTAAAACATCTGAATGACTGCATGTTCCCAAAACATACAGTACTTTTTTTATTTTTAAATGTATTTTATTTTGGATGAGAGAAGAAAAGAAAAAAATCTTAGAAAAATAAGAATTCTGTTTAAACTCCAGTGCAAAAGCATATGTAATTCTCATGATTCTGACTGAGGCACCAGCAGGCTGTCTGAAGAATGCTACATAAACTATACTTTACCTCTACCAATCTCACTAATGTGTAATGCAATCCACCTCTGTACCACATGTCTTGCTAAGCCCAAGTAACCATCACCATCCTTGTTTGTGAGTCCAAAATCCTTTTGCAGCAATGGCTATTCTATGATTCTATGATGTCAGTATATGGGCATTAAAAAAAAATTTTAAAAGTTCTCAATACATTCTGACTGCCTGTTATTCATAAAAACATAGTGCAGATATGGAACAAAGTTAATAACAAAAAAGAAGTCTCATAATAGCCAAATGAATAAAAGCAGGATTAAAATAGTAACCTGTATTCAGACATATGAAAATACCTGAACCATATGTATGTATAGAGAATTTCTTTCAGGCTGGTTCTACCCAATTATGTTTAAGGAAGTGTGTTGAAAGTCTGTATGATCAAGATGTTACGGATGCAAGACCACAGCAGAAGAACTGAAGGGATTATGTGCATCAGTGTTTACTATGCAGCAGTTCAGGGAATTTTTACCACTGAAGCTTTTCACCTTTCCCAGAAGAGTTCCTCCAATCCAGGAGGAACTGAGTCCCAGAACATAAGCAGTCATGATACTAGAGCAAATTAAGATGTCTAGTTCCTGAGGCTGCAAATAGTATTCATGCAAGTATTCAGAAAACCCAAGTATGAGTTCAACAAATTAACTGTGGCATGTAACCTAAGGTTTAAACAACCTTTGCCCACAGGACTAGAAGATGGCAAATACAGTGCCAATTTTTGAAGAATCTTCCAAGGGCTCCAACAGAGTCTATAAATCAGTAAACCTGATCTCTATATTGCGCAAGTTAATAGAAGTTATAAAGAACAGAACCAGCAGGTACAAGAATATACATTCCAGAGCAGGAAGAATTTTGGTAGAAGGAAGCAGTACTTCAAATGCTTTAAAAAAGGTCCAAAGGTCTTTAAAGACAAGAAACTATCATGGGATAAGGGGGAAGGTCCACTCAAATTAAGTGGAGTGGATTAAAGGTCTGGTTTAAGGCTAGGAAAGAAAGGGTAGGAATAAATGGCAAAGAAAGTGCCACATCAGTGAAATCACCAAGGAATGTGTATTCATTCATCTTTAGAAGCAAGGGCGGGGGGGGGAGAAGTGTGAGATGACAGAATTACTGAGGATAGTAAATAAAAAAAGACTACTGAAGAATCACTGAAAGACCTCACAGTTGCTCTGAACTTAGTATGATAAATCATCAACTGAATTCAGTATCAATAAAAGCAAGGTAATCCACACAAAGGAAGTACAATCCAAACAAGAAAAAATACAGTGCGCTCCCAATTGGTTATGCTGCTCAGGAAGCACTGGAGTTGTTACACACAGTTCTATGACATTTGCTCAACAATCAAGAGTCATCAAAAAAGAAAAGAATTGGGATTTATGAAAAAAGGAACGGAGAACAAAACCAGAAGTCATCATTATATCACTGATAAATCAGGGCATCCTACCATTAATATCCTTTCATTTAAAAAAAGAAATTAGAACAAAAAAGAGAACAGTAAGCCAACAAGGATGTTTAAAGGTAAAAAACACTGCTTCTGCACAGTAACAGAATGTTAAGACACTTCAGCTGGGGAATGAAAGGGCTGAATTTAGATGATAGCATCAGAATCACATGCAGCATGCAGAAGAACAGGAAATATTTCACTGTTTCTTAGAATACAGAAACTATAGAGCACCAAGTGAACTCATCAGGTTTAAGCACAAAGTACGTTTTCATACGACATAATTATCATGGTACTCAGTGCCATGGAACACAATGTGAAATTCAGTGAATTCAAAATGATCTGGCAAATTTATGGCAGAAAGCTATACGAAGGGTAGTTAAACACGCAGCCTTTGCGTGTTTAAGAAATTAAGCTATAGATTGCTAGACAGGCACAGTGAAGTAGTATATCAATGCACACTTACTCTGTTATACTTTCAAGATTCCACTAGTGTCAGAGGACTACGCTACCATCCATTAGACGGACCTTTGTTTTAATCCAATAAAAATTCTTACATTATGTACAATATCGTCCGAGATTCACTATCATGTTTTTACAACACAGTGTTTGATTTTGTCTAGAGAATAACAGTAATCAAAAGAATGAAAACGGAAACCATTTGGAACAGATTTTTATGCTGGTGTTTAAAACATGCAGCAATTGCAAAAAAGTTCTGAATAATCAAGTAAACAAATGGTACATTAACTTTATGTATCTTGTTTTACAAAAATATATTTATCCATAGGGTTTTTCTTAGTATCTGCAAGATCTATGCAATACTGTACTGATTTGATTATGAGTACACGAATTTATCTGAAAAGAAGTAAAGTCTTCAAGGAAGACTGTTCTTCTCACATCAAATTTTTCAGTAGTGCCACACGTGTTATGATTAAAAAGATTGCTTGACTCCATTTTAAATGGATATAGATAAGTAATACCTAATTAGTTTAAGGAGGATATAGTACTTCCTGCAAATCCAAGAAAACCCTCTACTTCCTTCTCTTAAAACGAGTGATTACTTTTACACTAAAGCGCTGTTAAAAAGAAGAGAATGGGTATCTACGTCATGGGATCCCTGTTCTAGTTTAAGCTAAGGAGCAAACGTCTCACCACAGGAATCAGAAGATGGCCGGATGTTGTCAGAACACGAGCAATTGTACCAGGTCAGTGTACAGAGATGCAATTCCTCTGAGCATGGATGGTAAGTATTGGAAGAGAGAAAGGACAGGGAGTATCTAACACAAGAACTATTAATCCCTCGCCACCCTCCGTGCTTAGTGGCCCTAAGCTAATCAGTTGTCCTTTATACAGAAGACATTCCCCTTCCAGGAATTTTGTGGGGCTGAGGGGCATAAGGTATGGCAGAGAATGAGAGAAAGGCAAGAAATCAGAAGTGCAAACAGTAATCAAGATACAAGTGCATCATGAATTTAAACTGTTGTAAAATGATAGTTTTTGTTACCTACTGCTTTCTAATAGTTAAAAGTATCTATTTGTCCCTTTTTATGACTACTGAGCATTGAACTCAAGTTTTCGTAAGTCTAATAACACCATGTTTTGTCCATAAATGTACATGTTTAGCTTTGATGCATGCATAAATGTTTATGTAAAATTAGATTGCTTCCACTACCACTCCCTCCTACATATATTGCTTTACATGCTCTACACTGACTTTCATCTGCTGTAGTTAAGCAACTTTTTTCAGGACATTATAAAATCCTTGACTTGTATTATGGAAATGAGTTTTCTAGAAAAGTACAGTTGAAACATTTTTCTCTCACGTTCAAGAAATAATTTATCATTCAAATGAAAAGCAAACAGTATTCTGGAACTGCTTTCTCAATTCACTGAGTATACTGGGTTCCGCCAATCTCTCCAAAAGATGAAAATTATTCTTTTCAGTTTAAGGGTTTCTTTTGTTATGCATCACAGCTAACATGCCCTGAAATAGTAATTACTTCTACAATATGAATAGACTGGGCACTAAGAGAAATCTGTCTTTGCCAGAAAAAAATCCAAATAAATCAGACAAGAAAGATTTTAGTATGTATATTAATAGCAAAAGATACAAACGACTGCTTTTGTTTCCCTTCTTTATTACTGAGGTGCTCTATTAGTAATCCAGAATATCAACATGCCTAAGCATGATGATGAGTTTTGATTGCCAGCTCAGAATTAATCACCCAACCCTACCCATATGAATTCTTAAAGACCTGTTTGGGTGTGGTTTTAGTCAACATTTTCTGATTTCTACCTTCATTTATTAGTGAAAGCCTCTTTATGTTACTACCTAGTGTTGTTCAAGTCATTCATGCCACACTTTCAGGAGTCAGCAGAGTATCTTTAGGCAGCTGGCAGCTACAAGATAAACTCATCAAGCAATGACTTGCTATTCAACAATCACTTCCTACGGAAGCATTCCAAACCAGTCAGAAATCCATCAAGATTCATCAGTATTTAGCCCAAACAGAAGAACTGTTCAATAGTGCACAACAGCATTACATAAAAATTCTTTCCTCCAGCATAGTATTTATCATGAATATTGACCTGCATCTATTACTCAGTTGTATTTATATAGGAAGCTTTTCCAAGAATAGCTTCACAAGCTATAACATCCTAGAGACAAATCTATTTGGCAGACTCATCTAATAAGCTTGTAGCAGCTTCAAGCTGCTTAAATGAAATATATAATGAGACAGCTCCAAAATGTACAGGAGTCATTCGACACTACATTAGGAACCCTACTCAGGAAAAAACCTGATGTTAACATCTCTACAGCATCGTAAGTTATCACCATTAAATATTTGTACATTTTAATACAGGTACAGTAACTCACGTATTTTGCCTCGAACTTCTTGGCTAGCATTTCTACTTCATGCCGCTCACGTTGTTCATCATTAAATGGATCTTCTGAGTGAACTGATTTCTTCTGAAAAATGCAGAAGTTAAATATTCATTCCATAAGAAACACACAGAGTGCATCTAATAAAAACCTATTAAATGTCAATAAACAATGGTCTGATGATTAAGTAGTCAAAATTTATACTAAGAGAGTCCAAATACTTACTTTATTCTCTAAAAATTAGTTTGACCCATTCAATTATCATTCAGTTACTTTTCTTCTAATGAGAACACAAACAGAAAAGTTAGGAGGAAGACTCAGATTTATATTTTCCCAAGCATTCCACTACAACCTCAACTGAAAGCGTAAGCATAATAGAACTATGGCCATTTAAGGTTCAAAGAGAAAGAACTCTCTCTAAATACAACTCTCTTTCACTTCTGCTTCCACTGGAGCCACTTTACAGGTGCTGTGATCCTTCTAGATACAATACACAAGATGTACCTGGTACCCTAATCAGCAGGGAAGCAGCCAGAAGACTAAAAAGCTCAGTGAGTTACAGCCATAACCAATGTAACTCCTTTAACTCTTATACCGTTATTTTTTTCTTCAGATAATTTCAGTAATCATAGCATGAATTCTGCAAGTATGGTAGCCACAAGGACAATAGAGATTTAGTATTCCAGCTGTACAAATAAGCAGGAAGTATCCTCCGCCCCCCTTTTTTTTTGAGAACGGTTTTCACTGCCATGACATCAATGAACAGTAATCAAGGATATATGTAGTGCTTTTTTTTTTTTTAAATAAGGTATGGCAGAATAACAGAATAACTTCTTCAAATTAGAGTTCACATAAAGTACCGTAATTGTTGGAAGTGGGGGAAGGTACTAGGATGCTAAAATATGGTGGAATGGAGTTCCATTTTATGGAACTTTATGGATGGCAACTAACTTTACTGCACATGGACCACTCATCAATGAATAAATGAAGATTTATGGTAGACTAAGACAGAACAAAAAGCAGCACTAAGTTCAGAAAAGCAAGATCCTTCTTCCACAGTATGAAAAGCCAATATATTGACTAAATGGTGACCAAATAATGACAAACTATCTCAATAGTATCAAGACCAATGTAATGAGGAAGATAAGCTGAGCAAAACTGCAAACACTATGCAATTATCTTATATTGTCTAAACTGAATACGTAAAGAAAAAATTAATAGACGTTATAGTTAATCCTGAAAAATAAGTTTAAGTTACATACACGATTCCTGCAGGCATAATGAAATATAAAATACTGATCAAATCATGCAACACCTTTTTCTCTACTTTTAGCTGAGAAAACCTACTCCACATCTCCTGCTAGGAAAATTTTTTTTTTTAATTGTGAAATGAGACAAAGTTGAGGCCAGAGGTCAAGCAAAATTTAGTACTTAAGTGTTAACTTGCCTCTCTCTCCCCCAAACTCTCAAAGCTGTAGCTACCACTTTGATTAGTTAAGCACTATTGGAATCTCAAATTCAAGCAAGTTTTAGTTTTGACGATTTCTGAAGGCTCTGATGGACAGCTCTCAGACTTTGCAGTAACTTTAAGACATTACTACTTCAGCACCTTTACAGCCTGTTTGACAGAAGTCAACTTGGGCTTCCAGCTCACTCGCTTTGAGTTAAGTTCTAGGCACCAAGCTTCAATTGCACCAACAGAAAAAGGAGCACACTTTCACTTTTACCAGTTTTTAAGAGGCAAATAAACTCTTCAACCACACTAACTTACTACTCACATCCAAAAACTTTACATAAATAATTCCTGCCAAAAGATTAAATCTACCAACAACCCTATCAAAGTATGTTCTCTTTATCAAGGCAAAAAAGCAGGACAAGGACAGCATGAGTTTCTAAAATAAACATTTCCACTAGCTTCTCATTTAGGCTAGGAACCCAAATTTGGAATAAAAAAAAAATAAAAGTTGCACTCATCCTGTAAAATAAGCTTTGGGATTCTCTACCGTTTCATTAAGAGACCTATTAAAGAAATGTTTGAAGTTATTCCTGTGCACTAGTCCTCGCCTTCCCAGAACAGTCTTCTTCTGGAGAACCTTTCTTGGATGCTCCAGTTCCAAGCAACACTACAAGACAGAAAGACAAGCTCCTAGTTTTGTAATGTTGAACTTCAATGGGAATAGTTATAACGAAGTCGAACAACGTCTTTTAAGGGATAAGGAGTCAATAGCTTTCAGAATACCCAATCAATCTCTATCCTACAAAAACAGTTTGCATAGATAAGTTTATATGAACTGTCCATTTTAAACTGAATCGTTACTAAAACAACAAAAAATTTGGAAATCTAAAACTCCACTTAAAACCACAGCAATAACTGCCGACTAGTTACTAGCTACTTGGAAAGAGCAAATCTCAGATTCTGCAGAAAAGTGGTAGAGGGCAGGCGTTTCTTGGTCAAGTTTCATTTTAACAAGGTAGTTTTCTCTGCTGCATTAACTGGTATAGATCACCATAGCTGTTCTACTCCACAAGCAGGATCAATTTTCCTTTCACAATTTTTTTCTATTTTAGGACTTTGAACAGATTACATAATTTGTTGGTCTGAGAATGACCAGGGTAAAAGACAGACTTCTGTTACCCTAAGCCTCCTGCACTGTGCAGAGCAAATTCTCCTCTTGCATTTGCTTTAACTATGAAGGAATCAGCATGCACTGATTTTATTGCTGGATAAAATGTGTTTCCCCTCTCTTTTCATGCTGATTAATATAGGATTTTAAGTCCTCCCTACCATATCAGAGTAGCTTTTCAAGCTTCTACCATATAGCAAGCAAGAAGTTACTGACAGGCCAAGTACACATCAGTTTTTAAAAAGAAAAAAGTCCAGCATCACTTTAAAAGGATCACAATTTATGACATTGTTTTATATAATCAGCAGATTGTTCCACACAGTCCAGCAATAGGCCATTATGATCCGTTCATTTCAATCTGGACTCTACAGAGAGCTAAAAAACATACACAATTTCTTATAAAGCATTTCTATCACTATTTCTACCTTAAAAGCAGTCTCTGATCCCAATTGTACCAAAAATCCCCTAAATCAATGCTCCCCCTGAGAAGACATGGAATTTGCATGAGAACTACATAAAAAAGCCATTTTTCCAACTATATGATTAACATATTACCAACCTACGGAAAAAAGGCAGTTGTGGAACTGGGAACTGCCAAAGGGAGAAGTCAGCGTCCACATACTGAACCACTTCTAAACAGTAACACAATTTTCACCTTCGTACAGGAACTGCTCAGAAAGATGGCACTTCAGAGAGCAGCATGCTTACGCTACACCAATTCAGAAGAGTCATAACAGGCACTGTTTGCCCACAACAGCTGTAAGACAGGATGAACAGAAGGAACCTTTTAACTTGCATCAGAAGATCTCAGAGGGATTAAAATCACGGTCAGTGATTTTTCCGTCTTCCACATTTGAACACAATCCAGTGTGCACACCCCTCCCACTACAGAACAAAAGTAAGCAGGCTACTAAACAGTTACGGCATCATCACCACTTAGAAACACTTTGGTTCGTAAAACAGAAGTTTTAACCATTCTCGAGTTTGTGCTGCATGTAAAAATCCAACGGCGGTATTAGTACTAGTATTTGAGGTTTGCTTTTATCACCAGAGCTATCACAACCTTCTCAGTAGTAGTTACTTCCTTGCCCCCTGTCCTTTCCAATAGGATGTAAACTTTCTCTAAAACTGCCTGCATACCGGAATTAAGAGGAGCCACAACTATTTAAATCAAGTGCAACTTCACTGGTATCCTCAACTCACTGAGTGGCTTGACTGTGACCAGCTTAAGAACATGCGCCCCTCCTTCCTACTTGAGCACCGGGTCTTGTTGATTGGCTAATGCTGCTTGCTTCTTAAGTTGTCTGCATAAGCTTTTCTCCTTAAAAACCGAAGTAGTTCGAGTACCAAGTATTTTCTGGTTGGGAGGAAAAGGGAAAGTACTTTTTTTCTTGAATGAAGTTCTTAACAGTTTCAGGCGAGGCTCTATTTTCAACAGCATTAACTCGCATTCATCCCTGCCCCCCCAAGACTGCAGAAACTCATCTCCAAGACTGCTAACGCTCACTTCACCGCTTCTCAAGGCTTGTAGCAGAGCCGGGCTAATAACGCTTCATTTACCTGCACACAGCCTACAAACAATCCAGAAAAAGGACCGGCATAGTAACAGTTTCGTTCGGCTGCCGGAAAAAGCTCCCAGGAAGGGAGGATGCAGCACTACCGCTCCCCGAGCAGGGAAGGCGAGGGGAAGAGGGCTGAGGTAAGCGGGGCAC